TGCCCACTAAGTCGAAAATCGGAAGAACTGTGATACCTCGCCAGGACCGAACACAGACCAAAGGTGTTACAGTCAAATCAAGATTGAACCAGAGATAAATAGAATAGAACAGAGCACAGTCCGTCATAATAAGCATAGGTAAAGCTACAATATATCAAACCAGAGGTTACTCCAGTTATGATTAGCTGAGGTGATGCATGGGCTCGGAGGTCGCATCAATACTCGCGCCGCCGCCCGCCCATTTATAATCTAAAACTTTAGGCTGGATCACGAAGAGAAATTCCAGAACACCAGAAACAAGCCTGAATGATGAGTCAAAAGCATTTGAAAGATGTGAGCCGGGCGAATATTCCCGCCCAGCCCAATGAAACCTCAGACTCAGGATAGACCCTAATGATCATGTAGTAAATTCCAGAATGCCATGACAAGAGACATTGATAAGTATTAAGCCTTAGTAATTAAATGATCGGTAGTCAAAAGAAAGGAAAGCAGACAGAATCGCGACCTGACATTTGAGGGAAATCGGATCAATTGCACTGTGGCTGGCATGCTGCGTCAGCCTAGAACAGGAGGAACAGCGGAAGCTGTCAGTAAAGAAATATGCATAATACAGTGTTCAACTGATTGACAGCGTGAGTCGCAGCAGTGGTCCACTCGATCAATGCCGATTAACCATGTCAGTGTTGCATGCCGTTCCTAGTATATGCAGGATATCGATACTGATATCGATAATCCGAATAGGAACTCGCATCAGATGTAGACGGGGATGTTTGATTAGAAGCGTGAAGGGCAGTCAAGAAGGGAAGAGAGAAGCAGGGGAATTAAAGAAAAGAACAGAACAGAACACATGATCCCCCGCACCCTGATTCCTGGCACCGCAGGGTAAACACGTTGTCGTTCGCTTAGTCCTGCCAAGTCCAAAATCTAAAGGTGCCAGTGAGGGAGGTCGGCCTGCAAATACGTAGAAAAGCGTTTGACCCAGAGTCCAGAGTACATAGTCTAGTCCAGACCGACCTCGGAAAATCCTATGCACTGTTTGGCGAGTTCAAGAATAACATAAATAGATCTAGAGCAGGGGTTGTAACTGAGTAATATTACTAACTGTCAATGTAGTGCGTCGATTGCTCCACCTGATGAGCATGAACATGCGTGTGGTATTGATCACGATAATAAATTTGAACTTGAGCAGTGATCAGCTGTGGATGTTTGTCTTGTTTGTTCAGAAGACCCGGAATAGAAGGTCGATCTAAGCGCATAGCGAGAACTTGGAAGAACGAAGCGTTGCCGTAAGGGAATCAAAGTTAATACAGCCTAAATAGAGTGGATTCGAAACCGATAATTATTGGGGGTTTCAGGGTCGACTCAATCGCAACTGAATTGATGTGCCTAACACAACCCATAGAATTATCGGTTTCGAACACACTCTAATCCCCCGCATTGACAGGGATGACGGGCCTGATGGCATGGTAAACACGTTGTTTTTTCGCTTAGCTGCCAGTGAAGTCTGAGGCTGAGCTTAAGAGGAGTCAGGAAAACGATAATGAGTGTGGCCACTGGCACCGGCACGAGAAAAGCAACCAAGAAAACCAGCATCCGTCGGTCCATAGTCCGACAGACCGACCTCGGAAAATCCTGTTTGTAAGTACCATAGATCGCAGTTGAGCAGCGGGCTCAGATAAATGTGTAATACAGTGTCAATTCCGTTCGGTCAATGGACCACTGCGAACATGCGTGCGTTGATAATAACTTGATAAGAGTACCATCTTAGTTCGGATTCGGGTTCGCATCAGATGTGAATGTGGACAGTGTGGATGTGGATGCTTGCTTTGCTTGGAAGAGAAGACCAAGAACTTGAAGATCCGTCAAGCGCGAAGAATGAAGAACGAAGCATTGAGTCTCAAATTCCCGTAGTGTGTATGGTAAACACGTTGTTCTTCGCTCCTCGCTACTGAGTCTCAAAGTGAATAAGTGGGTGAGGCTGGCCACATGAGCCCAGAAAACCAGATTGACTCCGAAGATAACCTTTAAGTATTTATTTTCACTGAAGGTTGGACGGGGTTAGTTCTTGAAGCTGAAGTTGTCAGTGTAAATCCAGCGCGAACGACCCTGTAGCCCACAGGCGAGGGTCTTCGCGGCCCACATTTTAAGCGCCAAATAAAAATAAAACAGATGTAAGCATAGCACAGTAAAGATCCAAGGAAATTAGGACAGAACGCGAGAGGAATATATTATTTATTAGACTGAGTAGGAAACAGGTCTCTTGACGTGTTAACCCGAATTGCAGTGTGCCCATCGCCGCCGTTAATTAGTAATTAATGTCTGTGGTCAGCAACCAGTAACCAGCAATCAGAACCAGTGACGCAATTCAATGACTTCAGGCGAATAGTATAATATAATATCCGAAATACACCTTGAAAACACGTTGAAAAGAGCCCAGCGTTAGCAAGAATTTTGGGGTCACAAGGGGCCAAAAGCAGATCAGCTGACCATAATAATGGAAGTTTTTATTTTTATTTCTATTTTCGCTGTTCGATTGCAGTGATCTTCCAGCCTGCGTTAAAAATAAAAATAAAATCGTAGAGGTCCTGAGAGCAGATACTCGCAGTCGGATGTCTTGAAAACACGTTGAAAAGAGCCCAGTGTTAGGTATAATTTTCGGGCCACAAGGGATCGAAGTCAAACCAGCTGATCATCGCGACGAAGATGTTTTAATTTTAATTATTGCCGTTCGAAGTGCGGTTTTCTTTGTTGTGGGTGGATACTTTATATCACAACCGGAGTCGAAAATAATCTAAAATCGTAGAGGTCCCGAGAGCAGAGAAGTACTCGGATGCCTTGAAAACACGTTGAAAGGGGATTACCCTGAGATTTGTTATCGTAAATTCGTGCAATTTTTGCTCCCTCCGTTCGAGCCCAGAATAGAATATCCTATTGGGAGGCAAAGCCAAGAAGTTAAGGCGGATATGATCAATGACGAACTGCCAGTGGCATCCATTCACAGAATTCTCAGTGAGCAATGAGCAGAGATAGGGCTCATTGAACGATATCAGATTAATCAGTTTCCATGATCCCACCCCGATATCATTGGCTCCGTATGTTTATGTTTGACCACCTAGAAGGGCAAGGTAACTCCATGAACACGTTTTAAAGGAATGGCCCTGAGTCCGTAGTCTAAAAGCATTTCGGATTCAGAGGTACCATGATTTTGATTCGACCGCAGAATGGACTTCGTACGCAGTCCGAGGTGCTAAGTAATCAACGCAGCAGATATATTTTCGTTTATTCTCCATCTTGAGCTTTCTCCGTATTGTTAATAGTCCTGGTCAATATCATAATGATGTCAGGCGCGCATCTTCAAATGCACCGAATAGTTGAAATAGAACGGAAGGTAAAGAGGTCCGAAAAGGAGATGTGATCAATCCACATGAAACTGAGATTAGCATTGAGTAGGATCGCCGATCTCGTATTCCACGCGAAAGAAAGATAAGAAGCAGTTCCCAGTGAGCAGAAAGTAGAAAGCATTCGGTTTCAATGATATCGATTAATCGATTAACCAGTTTCCATGGTCCAAACGCGATATAATCGATCCCAGATATTTACGTTCATGCTTGTCCAACTCCGGCTAAGCAGTAGTAGAAGAGCGGAGCATAAAAGGGCTAAAAATTCGGCGTAGTAGGCACAGTTCACCTGTAAAACACGTTGACCCAAGCCCCAATTGACAGACAGTCCAGGGTTTAAATTCTCTAAGACACTAGCATCGCCTCCCATTTCGGGTGAATCGGATGAATGATTAATATATCGGTACCACACACCAGGATGAGGACTTACATATTATTATTACACACGCAGGAGGAGCCCAACTTCCGAGTCTACAACTTGGCAGGCAAAAGTGAATCTAGGTTCAATTGGCTTAGCGAGAGTGTGGCCATCTCTATTTCGATATCGCGCCGCCGGTCTGTCGAATCGACGTCACTGTAGAAACGCAGCGCAACGGAAGGAAAGATCATCATCCGTACAAGGAGTTGGTTGATATCCGCAGTTGGACTCCAATACATAAGAGGATGTCTTGTCTTTCTCGGACCTGAATTGGATATGAAGATGACCCTTAGGATCTGGGGTACCCGCGCGGTCGCCGGGGATTGTGACTGACGGGGCGGGCGGGTAGATACCCATTTTTTGATGCCAATGCTGGTGAAGCTAGGCGACCGGGGATAGTCTGAGAGTGCGGTAACTGCAAGTGTCGGGAGATCTATGGAATAACCACAATAAAGTTTCATAAAAATAAACCACAATAAGTAGGTAATAGAACATACTTTGACTGATCATGATACATGACGCCCGTCACTCTGTTTCGAGGCAACTGACAGCATTTGATTTGACCGGCCCAGCTGGTCACTCATCGCCTTTTCGAGATGAGTGATATTAATGAGTCCTTCTGGAAGACGATCTTGAATCCCTTTTTGATGAAGCACATTGACTGTTCATGTTACTTTACTTGACAGCTGCAGACGGGAAAGAAAAGAAGGCGGGTGGCATGTGACTGTTACGGTCACGCGGCGGCCTTTTATTATTATCAAACTAAAAATTAAATCGCTATGTACGAGTTATTGGTGCATGATATCATTACTCGAAAGAAGAAAAAGAATTAGTTTATTTTCTGCCAAGAAAACGCAGCTGCTCGCGTGTGATAACCGTGGATGTTCCTCCAGTACCCCACCTCTTCTAATGAAAAGTGTCAGTGACTCGGAAGCCATTGTGCGACGCGTGAACCAAACGGGCGCTCTTTGGCGATGACAACCAAAAAGGAGTTCGAGCGAAACAAATAAGTATTAATAGGAATAGGGAAATAAAACATAACGAAACAATTATTTTTAAATTTTGCTTTTGAAACAATGAAGACTGCAAATTTGAGTCTCCGCTACCTAACCGCTACATGGAATATGGGAACCTGTCACTATGTCGGTCAACGCTTAGCTTAAATGCCAAAAAGAGATAAAAAATGTGCCCACCGTGAGTCGAACACGGGGCTGTTCGGTGCTAAGACCACAACGAACTGATTTAACCACTAATCGATGGGCACCTATGTGTTTAGTGGCTTTACGAAGATCCTGGACTCCTTTAGCATTGGGAGCCAGAGTCCATTTCTCGTTGGCTCACATTCTCCTAATTATCATGGAGAGAGGGGACACTAAGGATCAAATATCTCCGTATATTCCTTCTAGATACAATGGAAGGGAACCCTTATTTATTGTTCATTCTTTACATCAATTCTGGAGAGCCGCTAAACACCGTTCCTATTAGAGCAATCATTATAATAAAATCAGAATCTATTGAAACCTTGAATGACATTCATATATGATCCTAGTAGGAAATAATAAGGGGGTAAATAATAGTAAGTAACTACGGAGAAGTCATAGCGCGTATATTAATGAAAGTGTCAAATTTGGAACCAGTGACAAGATCTCTTTGCAAATGATCATGGGGCATTGTTTCGTTTATTAGTCAGTGAGGATCAGCTGATCCCTTCCTAGGGAAAATTCGATTCTGGGTTCTATATTCATAGTTAACGGATGGATTCCAGAAGGCAGGGCCCTAATTTCATGCCTTTCACCATCAGACTAAAATATCATCAGACGTTTTGTAATACATTGAAAGCAAGTTTACAAGGCTCCTCCCGCTTGTTCCGGGAAAAGAAAGGGGGGGTAATCTAAAGAGAGACAGGAAGTGCCGTCTCTTTCGTAGCTATATCCACTTTCTCCCCCTTCTCTGACCCTTCCTCCGTCTCCCACGGCTCCCTTTGCCCAAACTCACTAATCTTCTTCCCCGTCTTCGAATCGATCTTCTTCCTCCGTTCCTTATCAATACACATACCAACTCCATACGCCAAGGCATTGGCATAACCAGCGAACGCCACCCAATATCCAGTCTGGACATTGATCGAGTCTGATAATACTCCTTGTAGAGGCGCATATAACTACCAAATAAAATGTCATGAGAAATTCCGATAGTGGAGATGATCCTGATTATATGATTTAGAGCTACTTACAGCTCCTCCACCGACACCTGAAACTACAAAACTTCCACCTATTTTGGTAAGATGACCTAAACGGCTGATTGCCAATGCCTGTAGAAAAAGGTTCAGCCTCAGAGTGAGCCAATAGGTTACCGTAGAAAATGATGAGGCGACATACGTAAATAGTAGGCTATACAGGGGCCCCAATTAAATGTCAGTCATTAATGTGAAAGAATAGTGATCAGTCGATACGGACCCAGCATATACTTTCGAAAAAGAAGAGGACTACGGATCGGATGGCGGGTAAAGGGTCAGAGATTATTATCGGTTGTTAGGGACTCGTAAGGAAACGTACAGAATATCGAGACGACTGAGGAAGTTCCGTTCCCAAAGATGACGCCGAGGGTAAAGAGGCAACACGCCTGGAAGGTTGAATTAGGACTCGTCCGATCGCGAGGTAAGGGGATACTTTTACCAAAAGATAGAAGGTCAAGGCATGGGCAGCTGCGGAGGATTCGTTATTGTTAGGTCATAGACTTCATTTTGTTTCTGGACTCACGATCAACAAACTTCAGTAACACAGACCCTGTGAAACGTCTATATGGAAATGGTTCTTTAATTTATTCTCAATAAGGAGAGTAGATTAAAATACTTGCCCAAGGGCAAATACCATCTGGCAATATGAGTACCATAACGATGCTTTCGATGGAGCGAATGCGATCGAAGGGGTATCGGCGAAGAAGTTGGTGCAGAACTATCAATGAGTCATGGAATCAGACGGTTTAGAACCCAATAAAAAACTTCTAGAATACGTACAGTTGCGACTGCGACTTGGGCTCCAACATACCTATTTAACGTTCGATCCTCAGGATAAAGTTATAAAGGGTTTCAATAGAACGTACGAGAACTGAGCCCAGAATCCGAAGATCAAATGGTACTGCTTGTGCAAAGGCGCGACCTCCTTCTGGTCATCCAAGGTATCAGGCAATTTCGACTCGTCGACTTCAGGTAATTTTGCTAATTTGAACAGGATGATCAATATGACTCCAAAGCATGCTGAATGGGTAAGTGGTGAACATCATCTCCCGATATGAATGCCAGACAAAAAAACGACATACCAACCGCCAGGTACACCCATTGTACATTAGCCAAGGAAGTATCATTTTCTCCTTTAAAGAACTCTTGGGAAGCAATCAACGGTCCAGCTTAATGGAGGAAGAAGACTCGGTTAGCCATGAATCTTCTTGCTTTGTGGGCAGCAGGGTCGACTTACCAAAGGCGCCGATACCATTCCTGGTAGACGATCTGGCATTAAGAATACAAAATGACGTAAATATTAGCAACTTACCAGGCTTGACTGAATGTTAACCGCATTGCACCATACTTTGGATCTCCGAGTACTAGTCATAGTGACATGTCATTGCCGGATTCACTCTGCAAACACAACTGGTTCGTACCTGTAATGTATGTATTTGCAGCGACTTCTAACGTGGAAAGGCCCATCGAAATGAAAAATGTGCAGATCTGTGAGGAGCGACATTAACTTTCTGGACTAATCCGAACGGAGACTCGGAGACGTACGATGAAGCCAACATAACTCTTTTTGACGGCGACTAATTATTTTAATTGGTTAGGCTTTCTGTGGGTTACTAGATTTGAAACGCCTACCAGGCCAGTAGAAGACTGTATGAAAAACAAATGATCAGAGCCCAGGTACTCGCCCTCGTCTTACGGCCACTCACTCGCCCCTAGCTATGGGTATATGTAAATATTTTTTCTTAGGATAAGGAAACATTATGCTCACAGAATACATCGTCAAACCGACATAGATGCCATTCTAGAACGAATGTTCGATGACCATGATTATCAGCTCAAATTTGGTAACAATTTACCTTGTATCCAACTCGGCGCATAAAAGTTCCCGCCCATCTTGTCAGGAATTCATCAGTGGAATATCGCTTAAAGACGGATAAAAACTTACGGTGCCCAGAGAAAGTATGCGCCTATGGAGCAGATGAATGATCAACAAGCCAATGGTTTCAGTTTGGATTTAACATACCGAAATAAGATACCTGCATGAACGTGGATTGAGTCTTAGTGATACCAAAGACCTGCTGAAAATGTCTAAGGCAGAAGTGTCATGTCATTCCGTATCTGGAACTACAGAGAACATACTTGTTGAGCGAGTCGAGTAAACCATATGCAAATCCCCAAGCAAAGAACAGGCTCGTTATCAGTGAATAGGCATAAATGAATTGTCCCCTCGAAAGCTCAGTGGGGACAACAATCTGTTCGCCAGTTGTAGGGTGAGTGATCTTCGGCTTACGCCAAACCATTGTGATCGTCAAAGAGTTCGGAGGAGAAGAGGGGAAGGAAAAGTGTCACTTCCACTTTGCGGGGAAGGACTGAATTAAATTACATTTTCATATCGTCTATGTATTCATCTCCGTGGGCGATTATCAGATGAACCCGTGACCATGCATTGGATATTGGTCCCTCAACCTCAAGATAAAGCATTAGGGGCGGACCGCTTTCGCCGCATCGTGGAGTACGAACCATTGAACCAAAGCCAAACGAGTGCGAAGCTGGAATCCATGTCATCACGTGTACTGCTAGGTCTTCTAGCCGTTCTCTTCTGTCCAAATGCCGAAGAAGCTTGCATGCCATAGAGTCCTGATTCTATGTACCCCTGGCCTGGATGACGAGGATTACTACTCCTAGGTTTTTCCTGCAGAGACAGGGAAAAGAGCTCATATACCCTCAAGTTTTCAGAGCGCTTTATAGAAGAAGGGCCGGTTTCGGTCAACTGCCAGCGGGCGTTAGTAGGAATCCAATTTGATGCCGCATAGTAGCGGCCATCAGCAGGTGGATATGCATTACACAATATTCCCAGCAAAGTTCTCAGCGCAGGCACTAGGATGACGCTTGGCCCAGAGAATAGCATTCTCCGGCGAAACTAACGAGTTGCAAACATATGTCTATATGGTCTCACATTCGCTAAGATCCAGCGTAGTTATCAGTTACATAAAGACGAGATCGATAGTAAGACGCCAACAGATTCGATAGCCAAGCAGGTAATCACCAAGAAATATAACAGAGTCAAAAGATATCAATAAATAAGCACACCTAATAATATTCCCACATACAGCACAACTTGATTAATCCAAAATCCATTAGCTGCTCCACACTCGATTTCCGGTGGAATCCATTATTTCCAACCAAGGAGCATCAGCTGTCCCAACGCCGAAACGCAGAGACGTTGCAGCGGGATCTCTGTTGTGGGTTGCAGACGTCCAGGTAACAGCTCCTCCGGACGTATAAACAACCTAAAGCTATTCAGCTCGAATTAGATATAAATGCTCCAAAGCACTTACGAGATTTCCATCTCCTTGGAAATACATCACAGCGTCAGAATCTTTCTGTGAGACCCTATCGTTCGGAGTAGACCACAAGGTCTCCCAATCCCATGCAGCCTCTTGCGATGGATCCGGCCAAATAAATGGAATGGACGGAATAAGGGCCGCTCTTTGTTTATTCCGCAGAACGACGAATTGACCATAGGGATTGAGCGTATAGATCAAAGTCCAAGGGGTTGGGTCTCCATCACAAACGCAGGAACGCGCGACTATCTGGCCAACTCTGAAAGCCTGGTTCATCTTAAACACATACTCGTTAGCAAACAGAAAAGAGCCTCCTGGTGTAGATATTAAGATATGGGGTGCGCTATCAGCAAGAATAAGAACGGTTTCCCTTCCCGGAGTAGCATCCAAAGGCAAATGGGGAGTAAAATCATAAGTTATGACAGGAGTATAGTTTTCATCTTGAGAAGACGATGCGGTGATGCATAATTTTCCACCGGCAGTATACGTTAGTACATCCCCCGAAACGCTCGGCCCAGGTCCTCCTTGCCATTGAAGTTGGCCACCGTGATTCCTTCGTTGGATGCGGATCGTATTGTCAGGATCGTATCTCAGATCTATACTTTTCAGCATAATTTGACGACCCCGTTGTAAGTTGAATTGTCCGGCGTTGTACGACAATATCCTGGATGCGCCCGGGACGATAGA